ATTCCACATGTAAGTGGCACATACAGTATTTATCTTTGTTTGACTTCTTTCACTTAGCGTAATGCCCTCAAGGTCAAGGATGGAATATTATTATTATCACTATTATATTTTATTACTGCTGTTTCTAGTATTATCAGTTGGTAACAGTGGCCATCAGGGTTTTCTCAGGGTTTACTTTTAGAGGGCAAAACTAAATGTCACTAATTGCTCTTCAAATATTTTACTATTATCCTGGGGCTTTATAACAATCAGATCCTACAGACTCATACATCTTTTATTGAAGGATGAACATCTGTGAAGACACTGCACTGTATGACACGGAAGCATGACAGTGCTCCAGTCAGTGTGCTCCTCACACCTTGGAAGAAGTCAAAGTTTCTGGTTGCAGGGAGCGCTAGCAGGTGGTTTGGGTTTGTTATCGATGTCCTTCTTTAGTTAGTTTTCCCTTTTTTAAGAGATAACGTATAATGTTCTATATAATATATAATGTTCTATGTTAATTATATCTCAATTTTTTAAAAAAAGAGATATATAAGATTTATTATTGTCACATAAGTAGTTCCTAAAACAATGTTTTAATGCTAAGAGTCACAATTTAATTTGGTTAGAGATGGAAATTTAAAGTAGAATTATCTTTCATTTAAAATTTCCCTTCTGAGTCTACATCTGACAAAAGGAAGGGAACACAGTGAGGGGAAGGAGTAGAGTTTATGCTTCATGAGGCAGAAAGCTCAAAACCTTCTAGAGCCTAAAATATAAAGGAAAGCAGGGGCTGTTTCATTTCCTAAGAACACTTTTGTGTATTCAGGTATTAAAGGGAATTTTTAAATGAAAATATTTGCATAGAATGCAGATGTTATCAGTCTAGGTAAACAATTATGAAATTTTTTCATTTCTTTGTCAGTCAGATTTTCTAATTAAATTTAAAACTGGAGATTTAAGTACAAGAGCTTTGGTAGAACAGATGAAAATGGTCTGTGTGTATATGGGAAGAAAGAACTTTAATTAAAATTGATCTTTAAATTTTCTCCATGTTTTTGAGTTACTTGATTCAGATGCTGCTACTGGAAAATTGAACCATTTTTGTAGCTTCTTAACATACTAAAGAATCTGCCAAGATGTTGAAAGGGACTGTAAGAAAATACAAATCAAGAACATTGTGTATAGCATGATCCCATTTTTGTTAAAATAACCACCGTAAGAGGTGGGAAGAATGCCTGATATACAAATAAGAACAAGTCTTACATGGTATATGCCAAGTTGGGTAAGAGTACTGGGAATTTCCACTTTCTACATCTTTGTAGTGTTTGATTTGTGTTTTGTGTTTTTGTTTGTTCCTTTTACATAATACTTTTTTTTTTACTTAAAAAAGCATTTAGTCCATCCTTCACCCAGACAGAGAGGAATTGTTCCTGCTTGTTTTATTTTTTTAAGCAGATGTAGAGCAGTGTTGTAAATTTCTGTCTATTCCAGTGTCTCGTAACTATTTCCCTGATGCTGCTGTTTGAAGCCCAGTTTCTCAGAAGAAAACTCACCACCATATACATGAATGTACATGCTTAATAATAATAGCTGTTGTTTATTCGAGCAATCACCATGTCCCACATCATCTTCTAAGCCCCTGATATGTATTAACCCATGTAATCCTTAATGACTGTATTAGTAGCTGCAGTTTACAAATGGAGAAATACAGCATCAAGTTTATGACACTTCCCCAACTTGCAGGCTGCATGCGCACATACTTCATATAGAGAATCCTCCCTGCACTTGAGGAAATTGTTAAATCTTTGTGTTCCCTCTAAATCTTCTCTTAAAGCAAGATTATCCCAGTTCCCAGTTCCACTCTTTCATTTAGGAAATGCCACTTGCAGATATGCTATGTTTATTATGTGTTAGGGGAGGAATACAGAATGCCTGATTTGTTCCTATGAAAGGGCTTAACAATTGAGTTAGAGAAATAGGACGTGTAAGCTCACCATGGATAAAGACATGGCACATACTCGCCCATGACTAGGCTCCAGTGATGCTAGTTGCAGAGGTCAAGGGAGACTCTGTGGGAAGTCAGGCTCCGTGCAGGGGATGGGTAGGCTCTGAGGAGGCCTGCCATGAACACACTTCCTCCAGAACACAAGTCCCCACCCAATATCAGCAAGAAAGATCAGAAACCTATTTCTACATAGTTATTTCTCAGATATGACCAGATAGTGACAGTTGAGTGGCTACAAAATAGTGCCATTTTCTCAGAGTTGATTTCTTTTTTGAATAGAAAAAGGCCAGAGGTTGGAGAATATTCATTGTTTTCCAAAAGTTGTTTTGTTTTATATGAAAAAAAAAAAGGAAAAAAGAAAATGTGATCTGTAACTTTTTTTTCTCCTGAGTGTGTCCTCAGGAACTTAAATTTGGTCACATATGTTTTAAGAGAAGAGGCAGGGAGACCGTAGTTTGGAAGCTACGATTCATAGAGGTGTGCTCTGGGCCAGTGAGTAAACCAGTGTGAGCAGAGGGTTCCAGAGCAGGAGTCAGCAAACTTTCTGCAGAGGATGAGGCAGTAAATATTTTAGGCTTTGGGGGCCACATACGGCCGCTGTTGCAACTCTTCAACCCTGCTGTTGTCATGTGAAAGCTGCCACAGAGGATACGGAAAGGAATGTTCGTGGCTGTGTTCCAGTAAAACTGTATTTACAAAAACAGGCAGCAGGCCCTGGTTTGCCAACCTCCTCTGGAGGAAAAAGAAAGGTAGCGCCTTTAACACCCGGCTAAGAAGCTTTTAATTTATTTCCTCAGTGACAAAAATATTTTAAAGCCTTGTCATTGGTATTGCTCAGGAGACCCCAGTTCATGTGCTAACATGACCCTTTGCTGTCATCAGATTCCATCCAAGCTCCCAAAAAAATTTTCCAAGGAAGCTAAGCTGTTTCCCCAGGCAGGTGCTGGACAATAATGCAGGAAGTTTTGCTCTCCAAACCCCAAGAATTTGCATTTGTATACCTTATGTCAGTTGAGCTAAGAGGGGAATAGCAGTTTGTTCTCTGGATTGTGATACTAACAAAGTGGGCTCTGCTGTAGGGGAGGGTGGGACAAGCTACTGGATACGGTTGCAGGGAAATGTGTGCAAATCCATACGATCGTTTAACTGATTCGCCAGACTCATGCCTTGTAGATTTGATCATAAACCTGAGAAATATTGGCAGACCAGTCTGTTAGGGGATAATTCTGTCCAACACACACACAGTAACATTTTGAATGCTGCTGAGAATTCAAAGTCAATAGGGTCGCCAGGTTTAGCAAATAAAAATCCAGGGCACCCAGTTAAAATGGTATTTCAGATAAGTAACAAAAAATAATCTTAAAAAAACCCATGTCCCATTCAATATTGGGGACACACTCATGCTAAAAGATTATGTGTTGTTTATCTGAAATTCAAACTTAACTAAGCATCTGGTATTTTATTTGGCGATCCCCAAAATGCAGAGATGATTAAATCGGTTTTCACACTGTATATTGCATCATGTCAGTTGATGAGTTATCCTTCACTAAGGTTGTTCTTCCTTTTTTTTTTCATTGCAGGAGTCTAATGACATCGAATCTCATTAATTCCGACCTCCTTGATTTAGAATTTTGATTATTGATACAAAGGCTATGCTAAAGTGCACTTTATTCTCTTCATGTATTTACTAGGCCGATTTATCATGGATTGTACAAACAAAACTGAAAGAACTATTTATCTCCTTGGGAGACGACAAATAGTGTAATTACAATATAATCATAGGCTACCATTTTTTAGACTGTGCTTTTCATTTAATAATCACAGATATTCTATCATCCATTACAGCAAGACAAGACTCTTCTAGGCAGAGCCAGGTGCAGCCACCTCGGTCCCCACAGACCCCTTTGGGTCCCACCTGTCCCCAGTACATGTCTCTTGTTTTTCTGTTTGTTTTGTTCATCATGCTCTCTGGATCCTCACACGATGCTCGCTACTTGAAGTCACTCTGTAAATGTTAGTGAATTAACAAATGAGCGCTATCTGCACATGTTAAAATAATCAGATTGTCTTTGTTGCTAAACATCTTAGGTTTTAAATTTAAGAGTAATTTGAGCTGGTCTTTTATTCCAAATTTCAACTCATGAAGGGAATTTTTTGGTCAAGTTAGTTTCATTGCATAATGGCCTCTGTGAGGTGGACACTGAAAAAAATGTTATCGAAATTCCAAAAGGGTTTTATGAGGGGAGAGAGAGTAGTTCTTATAAAATCACCATGAGCAGTTCTGTGAGCTTTCTTCTGTTCTAGGACCATGGGTCTCAAACTTTATCAAGCTGCTAATGATATCAGCAAGCTTTAGCCTGCCGTCTTAAGTACTTGCCCCATTTCCCTTGAGATCACACACATACTTGAGTAAATCCCCATATATCTTCCAAAGAGATGGAAGGAGATACTTTTGATTGGATACCAAGTATGACTATCACTGATAAATAATGCATTAATGGCTTAAGACAAATATGTAGACATCTACACATTCTAAGCCACATTTGTATTTTTAGAGACCACTCTGTGCAAGCCATCTGAAAGACCCTTGAAAACTGCTGGTGAATTCTGGACCACTCTTGAGGGAAACTAAGCATGGGTGGTTTATATGCGGAAAGGGTAACACCAGGATTTCTATTGCCTGGTATTGGTCAGCATCTAGCTTTGGAAACGTCTTTAGATGAGGCTTATTCTCAGTTTCCACCTGTGGCTTCTTTCTTCTCTGTTTCCTCCAGCAGAGAAATAGGATTCATAGGAACCAGGAGATGAGGAGTTAAATCTCCCTCTCTGTTTCTAAGCCTACTCTTATCTCAGGAGTATTCTTCCTAGCAATCTCGGAGAATTCAGAGGATGCACTGCATACAGGTCAGCACTGAAACAACAGCTGGGCACGCAGTTCCTTGGATGTGATCCTTTTTTTCCAAGGCTTGAGTCACAGTCTGACTATTCCCTTTTGTTCTCCCTTCTCTCACAGCACCCTGGAGGGATATTATGTGGACGATGCCCTGCAGGGCCAAGGAGTTTACACTTATGAGGATGGAGGAGTTCTCCAGGGCACGTATGTAGATGGAGAGCTGAATGGACCGGCCCAGGAGTACGACACAGATGGGAGACTGATCTTCAAGGGACAATATAAAGATAACATTCGGCATGGAGTGTGCTGGATATATTACCCAGTAAGCCTCGTGACTGTTCGTTTTGCTGGAAAGTAACATGTTTTCAGACAGTGCTTTGAGTCTGCGCAGTGAAGAGTAAAATGTATTCTCTGTTAGAAAATGTGAGGCTGTGAAATTTGAGAGTCACTGTAGCTGAAGCCAGCAGCTTAGGAGGGATGTCCTCTCACTGTTTTCACTATGGACTTAGATTGTTGCCCTTCGCTCTGTTACGAATTCCTCTTCACGGTGGTTTTGGAAAGGAATGATTGGTCATGATTAGAACAAACTGGGACACACTGGTTTTACAGTACCACTGATAAAGATAAAAAACTATATTGCTTTTTAAAAATATTCCTTACAGCTGGCAGAAAGTTTCATTGTTGCAGTTAATTTTATTCTTTCTCATATGTAAGAACAAATGCAGCAATTTCTCATCTTTTTGGACTTATTACACTGTTGTTACTTCATTTTACAACCTTACTTCCTACTTTATAAGGTGCTTTCTTGTTAAATTGCTTAAATTAAGGTGATTAAAATTAACTTGCCTTTGAGTATTAAATAACACTTTATGATCTTCCTGGAGATGACTAGAGCAAAAAGATATGGCAAAACCCCTAGTTGGGAATTAATGCTCTCAATTTTGTTTGCATTTCAAATACCCTATCTGTTATTAGTGAATTTCTAGAAAATGTTTCAGAAAATAGACCTGAGAAAATATATTATCTAATATTTTATTTTGTCCAGAGCTTAAGTCAAACTATATTTTTTCTTACTCTGAACCCAAATTGGGTTTTAATTAAAAACAAAATATCTATTACAAGTATAATGAGAAAAGTAGTCCCAGCTAAATCTACTTACACATTATTGTTCCTAAAAAACTGTAGTCTAGGCATATGGAAAAAATACTGTAAAACATTTTTTTAAATAATTACTAAAGAACTTACACATGCTCTTGGTAGGGTCTGCAATAGATCAGAAGTCCTTTCAGTTTCAGAGGTAGAAGAGGTGGAGGGACTTACCAGTTTAGGAGGCCTGAAACTGTTGTTGCTTCGTGAGTAGGCAGGTTAAAGGTCCTGCTGCCCAGGGCTGGGGAGCTGCCGTTGTGATGGAGAGTCTTAAAGTCAGGGAAGGTGGATCTCTGCACGAGGATGGGTCTAGGAAGGAGATCAAAGATGCACTAAAGTGAATGGCTCTGACTCACTCAATGTAGTTGTATTTTGAAACCTAAAATGTGCAGCTGCATGTAGCCTTGATTATTGTTTTTTTAAACATCAAGAGCAGACTCTGACTCAGGAAGGAAGAGGCACTGGAGAGTTATAAGCTTTAAAAATTAACTTGGTTGATAACAGTTTGTATATAGAGTCTGTTGGCACTTGGAGTGGGGTGGTAATCACACCCCTCTGCTCTGCTTTCTGGAGTGGGAATCAACTAATGGACACAGGTGTCAGGGATCGAGATGTTGGTTTCATTGTGGCACCTTTGGCTGGAGATGTGCGGTCTTCTACTCTTTCCCCTCTGAACTAAACCGGTGGACTGGCGGTCCGCAGAGCAGCTAGAAAGCTGCAGGTTCTCCTGGGAGAGTACAGCTGCCTGGGGCAGCTTCCCCAAGGAAAGGACAGAAACAGAGGGGGGCAGGTACAGCCTGTGAGCACTGCCAGTCCCCAGGACAGGTGAGCAGAAATGCAGAACACATGGGAGCAGCAGGCTTTATCCTGTTAACCCCCTGGTAGAGATGGGTGTCAGCGGGCGTCAGATCCTGCCCTCTCTCTAATCAAATGCATGATTTCTCCATCCATGAGGGGAAGCCACTGAGCAGAGGAGACAAAGGGGCAGCTGACAGGGAGGTGTTTGTGACATGAGGTTAAAGCAGGAACAAAAGCAAGCAAAAATCATGATTTCCCCCAAAGGATTTATAAGCCCACTCTAAGGACAATTTATTTCTTTCAAAATTTTACCTTGGAACTGTGATGGAAAGTTTTTAATTAAAAACTCATAACTCCCTTTGGAAGTAAAAGAAGAATCTCTACTTTATTATTCTAGACAAATAAATTCACTTGCCCCCCCAAACTGGAAGTTTAAAGCACATAAGGGGGGAGAAAAGTGGGACCCTAGAAAGGCAGCATTCTGTTACAAATACATAGAAATGCTGATGGCTTATGTCAGTTACAGCGGCGTGTAAGAAGCACAAATGCTCCAACATCCTTCAGCTCAGTAATCACCACTGAAAGCCTGCAGGCAGATCTTGCAAAAAGTACTGTCCCCGTTCAGGCTGGGTTATTAAGAATTAACGCGGGGAGGAGAAAGAGCAATAATACATCCCTAATGCACTTCTATCCGTGAAAAGTGCTTCCAAGTATTTTTCTTTCTATGAAAGTGCTGTGATTCATTTTTAAATTTATAACCTTTCTTCTCCAGTCAGACTATGGGGAGCTGTAGAAGTCCTTTACCTGGTGGGACTTCTGCCTGCTGTCTCTCAGTAGCAACATCTGGGATCACTCAGGAGCATCCCTCATCACTGACCTGAACCTTTGAGCTGGGGAACTAGAACCTTTGAGTTGGGCACCTAACCACGCTTTTAGATGTCATTGCATTACTGTTGTTATGTCAAACCCACAAAGGTCTTAGATTTTCAGTTATACCATAAGGGCCTTCTGGATGGGGGAAAAAAAGGAAACATCTTTTGCACCCTAGATTTGATTTTTTTTAATTATTAGCTTATCTTTAGTATTCCAATTCAATTTCAATAGTAATTATATCACCTGCTGTGTCCCTCAAACTGATACCAGGATACAGAAAGCTAAGCTATGCTATGATAAGCTAAAGCATTTAATGACCCTGAGGATTGAAGCGAATGACAGTTAAACAGGAAGCACAGCTGGCTCCTCTCCTGGAAGGAGGCAAAAGGGAGCAGTAATCAAGAAGAGTGGGAAGAAAGAAGTGATGGGGAGGGAGTAGAACTGAGCTGATCTTTCCTCACTTTTCCTTCTGACTCCCCCCAAAAAATGACAGTATAGGAGACTCAGAAAGGCCGTGTGCAGAAGTCCATTTGCTCATCTCTTAGAAAGTGCAGACAGCTCTCTTTCCTCATGTACACTAAACTGATTCTTAAGTACCTTTAAACTACAGATGTTCTTAATAGACCAGAAATCCAGAATTCAACATAGGATCATAGGAATGGCGAGCCAGCCTGTCTTGCTGCAGACTCCTGTCTCATTTGATCTTGGCCCAAAGTGATCACTTAGTTATGTTTCCTTTAAATGGCTGTAACTAATGCTACAGATACAACATTTTTGCCTTAGATAGCAAACCAAGATAGAGTATCAGCAACTCGTCCGGGATTATAAAGTATAACCCCATCTCTGACTCTCAATCAGGTTTACACGCCCCCTGTGCATATAACTTAGAGGGGACGGGATGGGGAGGGGAGATATGCGCCGTGCTTTTCACACTCATGTGCAAAGCGCTAAGTTCTTAAACTATCATGATCCGTATTAACAGTGGGGGTGCACGAGAAAAATTTCTTGGACTCGTGTCATACAGATAAATACTATATATAATATTTTCTGATTTTGGGTTTCTCCCATCAGGATGGAGGCAGCCTTGTAGGAGAAGTAAATGAAGATGGGGAGATGACGGGAGAGAAGATCGCCTATGTGTACCCCGATGAGAGGACTGCCCTGTATGGAAAATTCATTGATGGAGAGATGATAGAAGGGAAACTGGCTACTCTCACGTCCACTGAAGAAGGAAGACCTCACTTTGAACTGATGCCTGGAAGTAAGTTCAATCTGCCCCCGAAGGGTTGCTCTCATTCCCTAAAGCCAGTTGTTAGGGCTTATCTGAGAGAAGTGACTGTCTTTGCCTAGGCCACTTTAATGGTGTACTAGTCAACTGTGCTGCTTCACAGGCACCTCACGCCTCAGCGGTTTACAACAGCAAACGCAGATCTGCTGACCAGCAGTACTCGGGCCAGGCTGGACTTCAGGCTTCTAGTCAGGTTTGAGTCTGCTCTATGTCTTCATTCTGGGGCCCAGTCTGAAGGGACAGTGGTGACCTGGGTCCACATTTTCTCAGATGGTCACAGGAAGCCAGACCATGAGCAGACACCTATGATGCCTCTTAAAGCCTCAGCTTGGAGCTGATGCAATGTCCCTTTCCCCCACTTTTCATTGGTCAGAGCAAGTCACATGGCCAAGCCAAACATCAGTGAGACAGGGAAATATACACGATGCACTTTAGTGGCAGATGCTGAAAAGTCACCTGTCAGGGCACAGCTATGTAATTCCAATACAGGGAAGGAATGAAAAAATGATGCCAGTAAATTTAACCAATTGTGAATAGTATATCTCAGGGGGAAAAAAAAACTACAGTTTAATGATTTAATTAATAAAGAATCAAATTAGGTAGATCTCCAGGTGGGTACCGATTGTAAAGCTGATCCAGCTTGAGCTCTGATTGGAAAAGATAAATGCACATTCAGAGCCTAGCATCTTCTTGGAGGACCTAACTGACACATGAGTGAGTCTGTTGGAATCTATCTTAGAAAAAAATCCTATTTCCTTTTAGAAGCACAGTACGGCACACTAAACTTTTTTTCTGATTATAAAATTATTTATTGTAGGTTTTGGCACCAAAAAAATAAATAAATATATAAAATAATTTATTGTAGAAAATCTGGAAAATATACACATAAAATAATCGAGATTTTGTATTTTTGGGTGACACAACATAAGAAAGCCAATTGAATCGTTCTGATTCCTTGAAAACAATGTATGAGTGTCTGTATTTCCAATCCAAGCTGAGGCATAAGGGGAAGAAAGGAGAAAAAGTAATATATCTAGGCATTGATAGGCTGAAAAAATATTTAGCTATTTGGTTCGGAAGGAGATTCTCCAAATAGTGGTTGTCCAAAAAAAGAAATCTAGTACTTCACATTTAGGTCCAACTTGGGTTGTTATAAATGTCTCAGTTTTTGTTTTTTTAAGTTAAAAACTGAGGCATTTTAAATGCAATGTGGGATTCTGGATTGGATCCTGGAACAGAAAAAAAGGGTATTTGTGGGAAAACTGGTGAAATCTGAATAAAGTCTAGAGTTCAGTCAATAGTAGTGCAGCTATGTTGGTTTCTTAATTTGGACAAACGTACCATGTAACTTAAGAAATTAACATTAGGAGGAGCAGTGAGGGCTACTGGGGACTCTCTGTACTATCTCTGCAGCTTTTCTGTAAATATAAAATCATCCCAGAATGAAAAATTGGTTTTACTCAAGGGAAACAGTAATCTTTGAACTTCAAACTCTAATATCTGTGCTCTTCCCATATGTTCTCAAAGGAGACAGTGTTATAATGTTTAGAAATGAGGAGACTCCAATCAGGGCAAGATCCCAGTTGGTGATACAGATTTTAAAACCCCAGAAGTGGCATTATTTTTAGTGGCAAGAGTCTTGAACTTAAGAGTCCCCTCCTTTGAGTCTCAGCCCCAATATTTACTGTATTATGGTCTTAGGCAGGTTATTTATCCTTCCAGAACCTACTTCTTTATCATAAAATACTTAATAAGTCACTTCCCTGTCCCAAAATGTGTTTCATACTTATACCAAGGAGAATGTAATAACCACAGTAACTTTCATGATGAGGATTTATGGGAGGTGCCCACTTCCTCGTCAATTAAGAAGATATGATTAATAATTACATACCCCCAGCTTGACTTATAAAAAGAATTGAGCCAGATTTAATACATAAGGGTTGAATTTTACTGAATTATATGTCTTTTAAAAGTTCATACCACTTTATCAAAATCCCCTAGGACAGTTGTTAAAAAGAAAAAACAAACCAAAAAGCCATGACTCTGAATCTCAGGGGGTGGGCTGGGTGCCTAAGAATCTGCAACTTAGTGTGGAAGCAACCTAAATGTCCACCGACAGATGACTGGGTAAAAAAGTTGTGGTATATTTATACAATGGAATACTACTCAATCATAAAAAAGAAGGAAATCATGCCATTTGCAGCAACGAGGATGGACCCAGAGATTGTCATTCTAAGTGAAGTAAGCCAGAAAGAGAAAGAAAAATACCATATGATATACCATAAAAAAAGAAGAAAAGAAAAAAGACACTAGGAACTCATCTATAAAAGAGAAACAGACTCACAGAAATAGTAAACAGTCTTATGGTTACTGGGGGAAGTGGGTGGGAAGGGATAAATTTGGGAGTTCGAGATTTGCAAATGATAACCACTATATATAAAAGTAGATTTAAAGAATAACAAGTTTCTTCTATATAGCACAGGGAACTATATTCAATATCTTGTAGTAACCTATAATGAAAAAGAATATGAAGACGAATGTATGTATATATATGCATGACTAGGACATTGTGCTGTACACCAGAAATTGATACATTGTAACTGGCTATACTTCAATTTTATATATATATAGTAAAAAAGAATCTACAATTTAGTAATTGGTATTTACCCAAGTAGACAGTTCTGAGTTTGAAGATCATTGCTTTAGGTTGTCAGAATTCATTAAAAAACAAAAATAGACAAGATATTGGCACTTCCCATAAAACCCCATCAGGAAAGTTGTTATGGTTATTACCTTCTCCTTGGTATAAGTACAGAATACATTTTGAGAAATGCGGGTGATCATTCTCAGGGGGAATATTTTTCTTAGGACTCCTGGTTGCAAATAACAAACACCCTCTTCAAACTAACTTAAGGCCAAAAAAAAAAGAGGGGTTGCATTTATTGGCAAGACTCTAGCAGGCCTCAGTTATTTTAAGGATATGTGAACAATGTGGGTCTCAAAAGAGTCAGGAACCATAGCCGCTTTGGGGACTCGGAGGAACCAGATCCTTACTCTGTGTTCTGTCCCCTCTGTGTCTCCCCCTCCTCTAACCAGTTACAATGATAGAACCACTGACCAGCTGACAGATGAGGGCTTTCAGGGTCCTGTGGCCTTGGGTCCAGTGGCTGGGGGAGGAGGAGGAAAATAGATTGCAAATATCTGAAGTCCTCCTCGCGGACTTCCCCCTCCACACCCTTCCTCTTCATGCTTCCGGAACCACGAACTGCTTCGGCCTCTCCACTTTCTCTGTGCTGATTTTCTCCTTGTGCCTCTGGCCGGAATTTCTTCTCTCCCCACAGGAATCCCATTCCCTGGCTAATTCCTATTCCGTCTTTATGGCTTGGCTAACCTCTTAGAATTAATGTTTGTCAAGTGAATGGATGAATTCTAGTCAAAGGTCATAGTATAAACAATAGGCCGAAGGAGGAGAAGTCAAGGATGCTGTCTGTCTGTCCGGAGCACAGGCCTGGCTATCTAAGGGAGCAGAGGGAGGGACAGTGTGCCCTGGAGGAGATGCACCAACTCCTTGAGGGCAGGAAGAGACGTGCTCTCGTCTGTGTCTGCACAGCCCCAAACGCGGTGCTTTCCCAGTAGCTGGCACTTAGTATATTTGTGAAGAAAGTTTTAGCCTCAGGAAAGGAGATGGGCGTTCATAGGAGAAATTCTGCTTACTAGAACATGTATTCCACAGAAATATTTGGCTTTAAAGTGTAGTTTTTTGTTCCTCTTTTGAACTAACTTCCTTTCCTGGGTTTCGGGCTAGTCCAGATGCGTGCCTCAACCTTTCCCTGCCCAGCGGTTACTGCAGGGCCTTCTGCAGTAATGCGGGCTGCATTTCCCAGCCTCTTGTGCATCTGCCTTCTGTCTGGGTTTGGCCACAGGGAGGCGCTGGCCGGGGACACAGAGAGGGAAGGGAGCAGGGAGAAGCTCTGTGTGTCCAGCCAAGTCCCCCTGATTCCATCTCCCACCAGGACCAATCCCCATGGGGCCAGCTTCCCTGGGCTCCCCGGGGCTCTAGAGCTCTGGGAACACCTCTGCCTTTGTCCCTGTAGTTCAGGCTTTCAGTCCTGCTCTTGCCAGTCTGCAGGCTCCTCATTGCCCTGTTTGGCTTCGCAGCATTTCTGTGCTCTGTATAACCAATTCTCAGAATTAAGTTCTCTCTCTTTGAGATGCTCAAATGGTCTGTTTCCTGGTTAGACACTGACAGATCTGGATTGTTCTTCTGACTTTTAGTTTGAGACATTAATTTGGCTTTTGATTGTATTAAAAAAACAGAACCAAGACCTGGTAACCATTGGTAACCACTAAGGAATTGCTTAATGGAATAATTTGTGATGCCTTAGTGCCTAAAATAATTGACTTTGCAGGAGTGAGCCCTCCAGTTCCAAAACTTGTTTCTTTACTTATTAGCCTTTGGAACACCGGATGTCTTTCCTGTACTCTGGGAGCATTCTGTGCAGAGGACTGATGTTAATTCTAGGACGGTTGTCTGCCTTCGTTTCTGGAATAAATCACTAATTGGCTTTTGAACCACTTTAATAGAAATAAGATGACTTTGTTAATGCTTTATCAAAAGCAGTCTGTTCTCCTTAATTCTAGTGAGGCTGACTGTTTATTTTTAGTGAAGGAGACAATTGCCAAGGGTGGGTGGTTGGATTCTACAGACTGTGTCTAGGATGAAGAAAACCACAGGAAAAATTTAAAACTATTATCCAGTCTGATCTGACCAGAGAGATCTCAAATTTTCGTGACAGAGCATTTTCTTGATTAAAAAATGTTAATGACACAAGCAGCTCTTAAACTATTTGAATAAAGAAAATGCAAAAGCAAAAATAGGATTTTAAGAGATACTTCTAATGGCTCTTCATTATGACCTGAAAATAAAACTCTAGAGCAAATCTGAAAACTATCCACTTGTATCGAAGAATTTCATTCTAGTTGGTGTAACTTGAATAACATCTTTCATTATTTACCTCTTTCTGGTCCCTTGAATGGAGAGAAATGTTTTAAATGTCCTTCCCTGACTCTGGGCCTGCGCTGAGCTGTCTGTTTGCTTTCCAGGTTCGGTGTACCATTTTGATAAGTCAACTTCATCTTGCATTTCTGCCAATGCTCTTCTTCCAGATCCGTATGAAGCAGAGAGGTAATTTTTTCCTTGTGGTTTTGATGGCACTGTTTCTGTGAGATTAAATAACCCCTGTGGTAGGAATTAATGCTCCTCTGTGGCTCTGCTCAGGCCGAGTTCCTGAGCAGAAAAACATCCTCAGATATTCTGGGGAAGAGTTCTTTTATTCTCATACAGAATCTGTCCCTGTAAGAGAGCTTCTCCAGCCATAAAGCACAGAACAGCCTGTGCCATGTGTCAGTCCCAGAATGAAACTTCTGCGAAGAGAGAGTGGTTGGGCCAGGCAGCCAGCTGTGCCCTGCCCAAGTGTCCCCTTTCTTGGGGCCCTAGTGCCACCATTTGTGTCTCAGCCCCTGCTTGCCCCTCAGGAGCATTTCACACTCTGGATAGCTCTAGCCAAGGCAGAGACCGGATGCCTCCTTTTCGACCTCGCCCAGCCGACGGGGTCTGGAACACAAGATAATTTCTTCAGTCACAAAGGGAAGATAGGCATGAAATAAAGAAAATATAAGAAGCATAAAGAACATGCCAGCTTGTAAATGACAAGTTTCTGATTTTATAAGTTCCCTCCCAGAGGGTCAAGCCCTGTTCCATTTCATAACTTATCTAAACTCCACTCTTGACTCCTGATGTGGCTTTCTCTGGTCCCCTGCCTGGAATTCTTACTCCCCAGCCACTGGCCTGTTTGTGGGTAAGAGCGCCACCTGCAGTTGGCTTTCTCGTTGCCTCACTCTGTAAGCATGACCTCTGTTCCATTTCTGTTCCATCTGTCTGAGAAAAGGCCTCTTCCCTGGTTTGACAGGGCTGACACCACAATGTCACAGTGAATGAATGGCCTCTTTCTTGCCACGAGGCTCTGGCCCGTTGACAAAGGGAAGAGTCTGGTCTCTTGTTAGCCACCCAAACACAACAGCACCGTAACCCAGTCTTTTTTTGTTACTGTCATTGTGGTGATGCCCCATAACAACACCTTTAAACTATCAGTGATTTAAGAAAGCAGACATTTTATTTTAGGCTCGTGATTCTGTAGATGGGCAGAGGCTCAGCCGCTTTGGACGGCGATCCTCTTGGCCCAGCCAGACTAGGCTGCCGTCCAGGTTTCACGTTGGGCTCCGGTCTGTCTCACATGCCTTCCTTCGAAGACTCAGGCTAAGGGAACAACAGCCCCCTGGGGCATCTTCTTCTTGTGGAGATGAACGGAAGCCAAGGAGGCTGGTAGAAACTTGCCGTGCTTCTTAACCCCCGAGACCCAGCCTGGCAGTCACTTCTGCCCACCTTCTAGTAGCAAAGCAGATCACACCAAGCCCGGAGCCCATCAGGCAGGGAGGTGTTCTCTGCCTGAGCTGAAGGAAGCGAGGGAGGTCACACAGCCAAGTGGCAGGGTGTAGAATTCTGTCCCAGGGAGGGTGTCAAGAGGTAGAGGCAGTAATTCAGCCTTCTAGTCTGAATGAAGATGACCCGCTCCACCCGAGTCACTGCATCCCCAGGGCTCGAAGAACTGAAACTGTGGATGGAGCATGTCCTGGCTCACTAAATCCAGCTCCGGAGTTGTGAGAGCTGTTTTCTAATTAACCAGTGGTTGGCAAACTTGTTCTGTAAAGGGCTGCTTAGTATTTTAGGCTTTTGCAACTACTCAAGTCTGCCTTTGTAATGCTAAAGCAGTCATAGATAACACTGAGCAAGTGTGTGTGGCTGTGTCCCCAAAAAAACTTCACAAAAATGGACAACAGCCAGATTTGGTCCTTGGGCCATAGCTGGCTGTTCTGTTATAAATTCCTTTGCTGATAACTGAAAGATTGTGCTCTATGCTGGAATTTGACACAACATTGTAAAATGACTATAACTCAATAAAAAAAAGTTTAAATATATAAATAAATTCCTTTGCTGGGAAATGCTCATTGGATATATTTTATTAACTGTTTGTCACTCTGTCATGTAAAGGGTCCATCTTGAGGCTTCATTACAACAGCCTTTCCCTCCTATATGGCATAGAGAAACTTGGGTATAGCTTTAATTAGTTTTGGGAAATGTTTGCCGTGTCCTGGAAGATGGTGGAAATTGTCATTAACTAACAACATAAAAATTTTTAAAAGCCTTCCATCAAGCAATGGGTGACTTTGTGAACATATACTAATAACCCCTGTATTAGGGAGCAGTAAGAGACATAAGTACCGGTTCCCCAATTTCCAATGCCAAAATCTGTGGCTTAATTTGTCCTTACTTCCTCTTGGAATTATTATGAACTGACATGTTGGATTCCATAGCCATAATGGTATTTTTGTGGTTAATGTAAGGAATGACATATCAAACCAAAAAAAAAAAAGAGTCATTATTTGCCCTTTTTTTCTATTTAGGGTTTATGTTGCTGACTCTCTCATTTCCAGTGCTGGAGAAGGACTGTTTTCAAAGGTAGCCATGGGACCTAATACTGTTATGTCTTTTTATAATGGAGTCCGAATTACACACCAAGAGGTGAGTGGGGTAGAAGTGGAAAATCAGCTTGATTGGTTAAAGGGCTTTGTTTCAAACACCCTTAATTTTCTCATTATTTCCTTTATTTTAATATTCACTAGAAATACGGAGGAACAAAAAGCTAGGCTCTTTTGTAAATGCTTCGATATTGTGTTATAGCAGGGCCTCAGACTGCTGTAGCAAAAACACCATAGAGTCAGTGGCTTATACACAACAAAATGTCTTCCTGTGGAATGATAAAGGGCAAAATGCTGTGAAATGATCAAGTCCCTGTACATTCAAAGCAGTTGCACAGGCTGTCAGTGCACTCAAACCAAGCTGTGGTCGGCCACACAGTGTCCCCTGTGACAGTCAGTCCCGAGAGTCCAAGACATTCAGCCTACGGAAGGTGGCTCAGGATACTGATATGTAATTTATGTATTCAAAGATTCCACAGCTAAGGAAACTGCAGCCCACAGAGGTTAAGCAATTTGCCCAAGGTTACCAGCAGAGTTCAGGCAGGGTTTCAAATAGCAGACCCTGGCTCTGTGCTGAAACTCACTATGTAAATCAATGAGGTGCCCTCCCTGCCCTCACGAAATTTAGATTCTGTTGGGGAGATGAGAAAAATAATACAACTAGTGGCAACCTAAGGTAAATGGTACCAAGTGCCACATACGGTATCTCATGACAGTTCTGAAATATCAAGAGCCACAACAATTTTTTTCACTTTCATCACTGCTGTGTCTCCTGCACCTGGAACAGTGCCTGGCATATGGTAGGCGTTCTGTCAATATCTGTTGATTGAATATCAGATACAAATAAAAGTGTGATGGTAGTTTAGAGCCAGGAGAGAGGCTATACCTCTGAGAGTCAACAGCTTTGAATGGAAGTGCGATCCTATTTATTCCAAAAGGCTGTCTCCCACAGATCCTGGGGCATGTTGGTCGGGAGTGGTTGGGGAAGGGAAGCCTGTTGCTTGCACTGCAGATGGTGAGTCCTGTTGTGGATGAGAAAGGGCCCTGGTTGTCCGTGACTGTCTGCTGGTCACATTGATTGCCCACCTGCAACAAAGGTGTAGAAATTTCCTGGAATGCAGCTTTGCCTTCCTTCCGTTTCTGGTTCCATTTGATGTTCTTACTTTCATGTTTCTTTTGCCTCATCTTTCTCACTGTAGGGGTTCAAGGGACTGGGGGGCTGATCTGAGAAAAAGACCACAAGAGGCGACCACACACAGCCAGCTTTGTAGATGCTGGGTGGTGACTGGACAGGTTGCAATGAGAGGGGACATCCTCCCAGCATGAGACCGTTCAGAGGCTTATCACCGTCCAGAGGAGTGAAGGGCAAGGGAACTTGTGGGAAAGAGAGGGATCAGAAAGGGGCGGACAGGTCTAGGTGATGTGTAGTGTGGGAGGAGTCTCTGGGCCAAAGAGCTCCCAAGGACAGCTACATCTGGTGTCTTTATGGTCCTGGGTTTATCCATCTACTCCTAGCAGGTGTGGTGAGGTTTCATGGGTTACGCAGCAGACTCGGAATGGCTAAAACTCTGCTCTATTTGGGCTATTTAAAAAACAGTGGGATGTGTAAAAATTTTTTATTTTTATAGTTCTTTTTAATTTTTTAATTATTATTATTTTATTAATGGTGGTACTAGGGATTGAACGCAGGACCTCCTGCATGCTAAGCACGTGCTCTACCACTGAGCTATACCCTCCCCATCTACAATTTTGAGTTTGGTGCGGGTGAGCTTTTGAGGTAACAGGTCTCAGCCCACAGTGAAGAGATAAACAACCCAGGGGCCAATACACAGAGGCCCTCTTTGACTCACTTATATAACACTCACCTGTTTTTAATTCAAGACATCTGGCTATATTTTTGTGTCTTTATAAGGGACTTTAAATCCTTTTTTTCATCTAAGATAAAGGAAAAATCAATAAAGAGTGGACCTGCCTGGTGCTGCCCACAACTGCCTCTTGCAATACTGGTGTTCAGTGTTTGCCCCCATCCAGGTGCCAGGGGTGCCTTAGGTTGTTTTCATGTATGTGGCACTCAAATCATGAATTTTAAGGATAAATGAGTTAATGTCTCCAGTGTCATTTGAGCTCTCGGGAGGAAGGTCCTTTCTGTTTTTATTTTTTTATTTTTAAACTTTTATTATTATTTATTTTACGGGAGGTACTGGAGATTGAACCCAGGACTTCATGCATGCTAAGCACGTGCTCTACCACCTGAGCTATATCCTCCCTGCCAACAAGATCCTTCCTAATGTTCGCATTCTTGTTTTCTGCAGGTTGACAGCAGGGACTGGGCTCTCAACGGGAACACCCTCTCCCTTGATGAAGAAACGGTCATTGACGTGCCTGAGCCCTACAACCATGTATCCAAGTACTGTGCCTCCTTGGGACACAAGGCCAATCACTCCTTCACTCCAAACTGCATCTACGACCTGTGAGTATGACACCGGGCTGCCAGTGGCCAGGGCGGGTCTGTGCCTTGGGGCCGCGGGAATGAGCAGGGCACCGAAAAGGTGTCATCCTGCCCTGGTGCAGACCGCTCCGTCAGAATATCTGAGCATCCTCTGCCCAGGGCCTCGTGCTTATGACTGGAAACTCAGAGTCTAAACAGCCCCACCCTTGGGCTTTGGCAGGCAGGCTAAGAAATGGAAAAGTGGTAGAAATGTTATGGAAACACTAGATTTAATGATCGCTGTTTTATCGTGGCTGTTTTGTCTTTCGGTTGTCTCATTCTGGAAACCTAAGGATCCTGTTATTTGAAGTCATGGTACAAATTGAAATTACTCTGCACAGTGGAAATTAGGCGATCCCTCTATGATATAAAAGGAAGGAAGACAATAAAATCTCAAGCCTAGAGCATGAGGTCTTGGTGTTGGGGAAAAACTGTAAAATCAGAGTCCTTATCATCTGGCAATCAAGAGGAATGAAATAGTGACACGCTACAGCATGGATGAGCCTTGAAAACGTGCTCAGTGCAAGAAGCCAGTCACAAGAGACCATGCAGTATATGATTCCATCGATATGAATGGTCCACTCTAGCCATAGAGACAGAAGGCAGATCAGCAGTTGCCAGAGCTGAGGGGGGGATGGGGGGGTAGAGGTTGATGGCTAATGAGTATGGAGGGTCCCATTACGGGTGATAAAAGCTTCTAAAATTAGTGCTGATGGTGGCACAACTGAAAACTACTGAATCATACACTTGAAAAGAGTGAATTTTATGAAATGTGAATTTTATCTCCATAAAGATGTTATTTTTTAAAAATCAAATAATCCAACCTCCCTCTTGGTTTGAGCCTCCCCTTCCAACTCCTCAGTGAACCTCTTCTTGGAAACCTCCATGATGAGGGGCTTAGCGTTATGCACAAAGGCGGCTGGCTGTCTGAACAAACAGATATTATGGAATTAGCTGTTGGGCACTGATGATTATAAAGTTCTTTCTGTTGAGCCCAAATGGTTTTCCCTGTAACATCCAGCCCTAGGCCCTAATTATCTCCCTTTCTTTCTTATGTACAGTGTCAGTCTGTCTTCTGCTTAGCAGCCCTACAAATATTTTGGTAGTTTTCATGTGCCCCCTGAAGGCTCTCTTCCCAGTCAGGCGCCTCTGACTAGTCCTTAAAGCACACAGCTGGGATTCTCTGGAAGCTCATCGCTGCTGTCCTTAGCTCAGCCTGAGAATGCCAGTTCCTCCTGGGAGCCAGGCAGCCGTGTGCAGCCTTTTCTGCTCAGCTGTGGTTTGCGTCCCAGCATCCTCTAGCTTGTTAACATAAGCAGGATCAGATCATGTGCATTTAATCTGAAAATTGCCATGATTTGAATGTCCCTTCTTGTATCCCTGAGATGGCTTTAAAATTGCTCTGGCAGTGACTTGCTCTCCTTGGCAGCCACTAACAAGTACTGAAGCTACAACTTCTGTTTAAAGGGCGGGTAGAAATGGCAAAGGACATGTGTCATGTGAAATGAAACTGACACTGTTATTAACTCCAAGGCTTTCATGGCCAGCATGAATTAGGCCAAATCATCGTTCCAGGCTGCACACAGCTTAACAACAACCCTTTAAAGCAGTGGTAACTAACGATAACAAATGCTACTTAGCTCCTTAAAACAAATGAGTCCTGTGATTTCATTGCAAGGACATGATTTTTCTCATCAAAACAAGAGAGCACAGGAGACAAGAGAAGGAACCGTTTGTGCAAAGCCACGTCCCTGTTTAGAGTTTTTTTCCAAGCTTCATGTGAATGATTAGTTATCTGGGGTCATGGGGAGACTACCTGAAAAATAATCAGATCTGACTCATGGCATTCATTTGTTTCTAAAATCACCAGTATTGTTATGCACACTTTAACACAAACAGAACAACACTTCTGGAAGCTGTTTTAACTGTAGTCTGGTACAACGTGCCAAGGGGACAGATAGACAGGATCTACTTTCCTTGTTGTAAATATAGGTAACTTATCAACAAGAGGCCGAACTACATGGCCCAGAGGTTTGGTCTGAGGGCTAATCGTGCGGCCAGTGTTTCTTGAGCACTTCCTCTGGGTGGGCGCTGTGCTCAAGGCTTCTGTGCATGATCTCATTCAATCCTCCCAGTAACTCCATGGGGCAACTACTATTACTGCTGATCCCAGATCACCAACAAGAAACGCAGGGCTCAGGGGGAGGGTATAGCTCGGTGGTCGAGTGTGTGCTTAGCATGCACAAGGTCCTGGGTTCAATCCCCAGTACCTCCATTAATAAAAAATTAATAAATAAATAAACCTAATTACCCCCCCCCCCAAAAAAGGAAAAAAAACCTTAGGGCTCTTGGTCAAAGTGGAGAAGCACTCTTAACTGTTGTGCCTTAGGGCTGCCTTGAAGAATCAACACCTGAGACTGAGTTCTTTCTTTTCAGTCTGTCCATTTTTTACTGCCTGAAAAGAAGGATAATGAGCAAGAAAATGACCAGAGAACAATACGAGAAGTCTTAGGCTTCTCATGGGATTTTTTCAGTGAATCAGAAGGTTAACTAGAATTCCTATTTCAAGGGTATTATTTTTTCATTTGAAGTGTAGTTTGCTTACAGTGTTGTGTTAGTTTCAGGTATACAGCAAAGTGATTCATTTCTATATGTTCATATATACACATGTATATTCTTTTTCATATGCTTTTGCATTATAGGCTTCTACAAGATATTGAACATAGTTCCCTGTGCTATACAACAGGACCTTGTTTATTTTATATATGGTAGTGTGTTATCTGTTAATCTCAAACTCCTAATTTATCCCTCCCCCGACCTTTCCCCTTTGGTAACCATAAATGTTTTCTATGTCTGTGAATCTGTTTCTGTTTTGTAAATAAGTTCATGTGTAATATTTTTTAAGATTCCACATATAAGTGATATATGATTATTTGTCTTTCTCTGATTTACTTCACTTAGTATGATAATCTCTAGGTCCACCCATGTTTCTGCAAATGACATTAATTTATTCTTTTTTATGGCTGAATAGTACTCCACTGTGTGGAGTATTATTTTTTAACAAAATATTTAATATAGAGACAGGGAGTTGTGATTTTCATAAGGAATTCCCACATTCCTGGCTAAGTGATGTCCTCGGTGATGGAGCATGTCTGAGAGCTGTGCGTGGCCGAGTTCTCCCCAACTCCCGTGCGTGCTGACCCACATGGAAACTGGTGCAAGTTGCCTCCTCGATTTGTGCCAGGCACTGTGTGAGGTGTTTTATTTATGTGACCCTATTTTGTCACCACGAAGACTCTTGTAGGGTAAGGATCACTGGTGTTATCATGATTTTGCAGATGAGGAAAGTGAAATTCAGAGACACAGGTGAGCTTTCCAGAAGGAGGCAGTAATAATGGATAGAACCAGGACTCACACCAGAGTCTTCGGACCCAAATCAAATGTGCTTTGGACACAGAGGCTCCCTCGGAGTGAGGGTGAGATTGTCCCCACACCGCAGACATACTCCTCTCCCACCCAGTGCATGCCATCCAAAGCAGCGCCTGGAACCTTCTCCTTTGGTGTCTCAGTGCCCTTTGTTCAAAATGGAACTGTAAATGAGCGAGACTGATTTGACCAGATGCATACAGAAGTAAGGTTAGTATTCTGGTCGTGCCTTCCATGTGTCCGTTTTGGGTTTCGGCAGCTGCTAGCGGAGACCAGTCTATTAATACTTCCTTGGCTCCTGTTCTCCAGCAGGGAGCTGTGCAGGTGAGCCAGGCTGGGAGCCTCCGGCAGAGGAACAGAATCACAGCGTTAGCCTGGCTTCTGAGAGGTTCTGAGAGGCCTCGTTATGGGATGAGATGCCGCTCCTTTCACAGGATGCTTCACAGGAAATAGGAAAGCAGCGGGATGGCAGAGCAGTCTCCGCTCTCCTCTGGGAAAGACATCGTCATCTACTTTTATGCTAGAAAATAACTTTCTCTCTAGTACAGAACGGGATACAGAGTCTTTTGCTTTTGAAAAGGGCTCTTTCTTACAACTCCAGGATTGCCCTGGTAAAGCCTTGCCCCGAGGCACAGCCAGGTAGTCTGATGCCACAGGCCAGACGAGCTGAGGTGCTGACACTCTGCACTGTCATTAAAGACACACTTTCAAGACATGGAAGCAACTTAAATGTCCATCGACAGATGACTGCTTAAAGAAGATGTGGCATCTATGTATACACAATGGAACACTACTCAGCCATAAAAAGAGTGAAATAATGCCATTTGCAGCAACATGAATGGACCTAGTGATTGTTATACTAAGTGAAGTAAGTCAGACAAAGACAAATACCATACGATATCACTTATATGTGGAATCTAAAAAATAATACAAATGAACTTATTTACAAAACAGAAACAGACTCACAGACATAGAAAACAAAATTACAGTTACCAAAAGGGAAAGTGAGGGGCAGATAAATTAGGAGTCTGAGATTAGCAGATACAAACTACTATATACAGAATCAATAAACAACAAGGTCCTCCTGTATAGCACAGGGAACTATATTCAATAGCTTATAATAATCTATAATGAAAAAGAATGTGAAAAATAATATATGTGTATAAAAATCACTGTGCTGTACACCAGAAACTAACACCACATTGTAAATCAACTATATTTCAATTTTAAAAAAATGAATTTTTGTTCTGGACCCTGATTGTTAGTTTAGAAACAGAGTGCCAAATATGCTCAAAAAGGAAGATAGAGCCATGCTTTTTAAACTTTTGTGTACATAGGAATCACCTAGAGATGCTGTTAAAATGCAGGTTCTGATTCAGCAGGTCAGGGTGGAGGAGCCGAGTGTGTCCAAGCTGGGAGTGTCCAGCCACACTGATGCTGGCTCCTCTGTGGCCCACATGCTGAGGTCCTACCAGTGGTGTCCAGGGCAGAGCACGTGGGTGAGTCCTGCACCCGCCCTCTGTTGCTGCATCGGACCTCCTGGCCTGGCCCGGGAATGACCATGTGCCTCTCGATGTCTAGGTTTGTCCACCCCCGCTTTGGGCCCATCAAATGCATCCGCACCCTGCGAGCTGTGGAGGCCAACGAGGAACTCACCGTTGCCTACGGCTACGACCACAGCCCCCCAGGGAAGAGTGGGCCTGAGGCCCCCGAGTGGTACCAGGTGGAGCTGAAGGCCTTCCAGGCCACCCAGCAGAAGTGAAAGGCCTGGCTCTGGGCTTCAGAGACCTGGAATGGAAACTTGGATCTATGCACTACGTTCATCCGACAACGGGACAACCAGGGACTGCTCATGCTGTGACATCACATCCTCTCACTCTGCGTTCGCAACGACTTTCTCGAATACTAACTAGGTTTGACTGTATTACTCATACCAGATTTAAAATTAGCTAGCCTCGCAACGACGCCCTACTGAGAGGTATTGTCGAACACTTGACATCAGACAGCGTGATGTTCTTGGGTGGTTCAAGTCTAAATCTGTACCACGTTCAGAGATGCCAAATGATTAGACTGAAAAAGGGAAAAGGGGGTTTTTCAGTCATTTTTAGTCAGTGGTTTTTCCATGAGGTTTATTTCTATGGCCAATGCAAACCGTGTTATCACGCTTGCATACGCGCCATCTGGAGGAGAGAGAATTACTACATTTTTATTCTCTAAATGTAGTATAATTTGCCTTTTAACCTTTGATCTGTATCTTGCAATAGAATGGCTTTGTTTTCTCCCTAGCAAACAGAACCCCACTTTTTTGAGTCACTTCACCCCTTAGTCCTCTATCTTAGATATCTTTCACAAGAGAAAGCTTCCAAACAGACCTCGTGTCAGTGCCAGTGTGTAGGTCTCTCTGGCTCTCTCTATATCACTGTTTCACTATTATGTCCTGATATAAAGACCTGGCTCATAGGGCCGGGCTATTATTATAGAATTATTATTCTCGCATGTAAACAAAGATATCTTTGCTTTAAGATGTGAGAAGAAATGAATTTACTTTGTTTGCATTAAGTTATGGAAGAGTTGTAATATATACTTTAAGAAAGAAGAGAGGGAAATTAGTATTTCTAAGCAGTAACTGTGGCAATTTTGCAATATCTTTAATAGTGCTAGTTTTTTTTTTTCTCCTTGAGTACACATTAAATGTACATAACCTAGAGCAGTCTGGCTGGTAGCACAGTGAATTGAATTCAAAAGTCAAATAGCAAACTTGAATTCTCAAACAGAATTCAAATGTTCGTTGTTTTTTATTTTAATCGCTACTGTTAAGAGAGACATACTGATCACTAGGTACAAAGCAAACCTTAACGCTAAAACTCTTCATCATTGTAATTTCAAAGCACCTACCTGCTTCAAAGCCTCGTGAATTAAAAATAACACCTGTATAGTTTAAAAGCAGCGGTATCAATAGCATTTCAGCCATTTTGCTAGCCATGTGTAATCACAACCGCAGAAATAAGGAGAAAATCCCTGTTTTTTAGTTTAGCTAACTAGGTATGTAACATAACTGGGATTGCTCTGAATGAATTCTGAGAATTTGGGGGTTTTGTAAGCGCCCTCACCACAAGCCATAGCTACGTCTTCTTGAGATGCCTCTCGGAGGTGGGGGGAGGGGTCTGGAAAGCAGCACTTACACTGACCTGCAGCTGTCCGCAGGGGCATCTGTCACCAAGTCAGTTTGGTCTTGAAAGCTGAAGCCTTCCACACTGTAGTGATAATGGCCGAGTAGGGAAGGCCTGCTGGGAGCAGAAGGGAAAAGAAAAGGGCAAGAGGAAGTTTGCATTTCATGTCAGTTACACGTCACTCTGAGGAAGAACTTAACAAAAGTACTTGACCTGGGGCTGCTCACAACTTTCAGTTCTGACAGCTTCTAGGCACAGGATTCAGCCCTCAAAACAGTGACAGAAGTGGTCCTTTCCCTCTATGAGCTCCCCAGTCCCCAGCAGTGCAGGCAGCTAGGGGGTGGTGATTTCAGGGAGATGAGAAGTTATGAGGGCTGCCGGAAAGATCTTCCATGAAGAGAACTGATTAGAGTTTTCAGATGAAAGGGCACCAGGATAGGATCGCTTCTATTCTGTAGGAAGAGACCGTTCCAGAAACTGTGACAGACGGGCAGAGTCTTGGGACTTGTGTTCTGATAGGTGCTTTACTTCAAACAAGTCCCACAGTGAGTGACCGTCTTTGGGATGGAACGATGGCTGTGATTCACCCCAGTCAGTTGGGTCATGGAGCCAGGTCAGGGAGTCGGGGGGCGCAGGTCACACCTCGGATGCAGCTAAACTCCCAAGGATTTTCTGCCTGAGGCGATATTGTGCTGTGGAGGCTGAGGCTGCTGTGGGGTGTAATATCTATCCCAAGGGGCTACTCACTCACCCCATTCAAATGGAATTCTTTCTTTCTTTCTTTCTTTTTTTGATAAAAGTCATTTAAGAGTTGTCAATGAATCCATTTTACAAAGGAGATAGTGAACGGTAACTCTCTGGGTTTAAAACCGGGCAGTGTGTGTCTGTGAGGTTCAGACAAATCAGAGGAAGCAATACACCCAAGATGACCCACCCCCATCCTTCCTGCACTCTTCCTTGTCCTTCTGGCTCTTGTGTCTTCCACCGACCCTTCCTCTTTCTCTTCTGTCTGTGAGGATGCCTGGTGTTCCTGTATAACCACCTGCCAGCTGGCCCCTTCCTCTCTCCCTCCCCTCCTGCTGGTCTCTCCGGCTCTGTGTGTGTCCCTTGGACCCTCTCTCTTGCACCCTCTGCAGGTACCTCTCTCCATCACTCTGCGTCCATATCTGGCTCTGCTGTTCCCGTCCCCTTGTCTCTCTCTCACACACACACACACTCCCAGATGTAAGGCTTTGTCACAGGTTGGGCTCAGAAGGGGGCCTTGAGATTCACTGTGCTCTGTCGGTAGGTAGGTAAAACAGTCGAGGGGGTTGGGGTCCCAAAAGGAATTAACTGGTGAGGAAATAAGGCTCTGTTCCCTGTGTGAGCCAAAGTCTGACTGGGGGAAACCTGGGGATGTGTTTTTCTACTGACTCTGGACATCTGCCATGGAAGAAATTATGTCAGGAAGCAGGTAGTTTCATCAGCATCGTAACAGAAATGTGGACGATTCCATGTGGTGGGGAATAAAGAAGGAACTGTATGCTCGCCCCCAAAACGGCTGGGGCCGAGGAGGGCATACGATGCCATGGTCTCAGGAGATTCACTCAGAGCCGTCTCAGTCCAGCTCCTGCATGACTAGCTCTTTCCTTAGCTGCTTTTCTATGACAAAATATTATCTTGTGTTAGAGTTAGGAATAGGAACTAATCTGTAGGAGTATGTCCACAAATGGGCATCTGAATGGACTCACAAATAAACAACTGTAAGGACTGAATTTCCAACACAAAGGATGATGAGATTAAAAAAGCAACAGGCAAGGAAGACTTGAGTTTCGCAGGACCTGTTCTTATTTTAACCTGCTTCATCCCTGGTCTGCCCGAGAAACTGAGAAGGAAACCAGTTGTTCAAGACCTCTTTGAACTTGACTGGGGCTGTAGTTAAACTGATTTGCCCTCTGGGGGTTCTTCACACTTGAAAAATAATTTCCTTGTCACCAACAACCTGAAAAGGCCAAAGTGGAGGCCAAGTATAACCATTTACAACATTTAACTGTAACAAGTGAAACTGCAGTGACTGTGAACAGTGAATTCAAGGCTTGTCTTCTCAGTGAGTCAGTATGTGGCACTTGAGTAAATTTCCTTTAATATATGAAATTTTAAATCACTCACTGCAAAATGCATTTAAGATCTTCCAGGAAAGGTATCGTTTTCTGTTTTGCTTTGTTTGAAGACAGTTGCCTCAAGTTTCTGTCTTAAGAGTAGTGATTTAGAATCCAGACATCTTTTGTTTTAGAAAAACAAGCAAAAACCATGTTGCAAGACTGATAGTTGTCATGTTTAGTTGCCACAGATCAAAGGTTCACAAAATATATTAAATTTACATCTACTTGAGATAACTTGATAGATTGGTTTTTTTTTCCCCCTTTGATCTTTCCCTTCAGGAATTTGAAGCTTCGGTGTCCATTTTGATTTTAAAAATACTAAATTGTAATGGTTTTATTTTGCCAAGTGTGTGCAGACATATTCAAAGCAATGACACTATTTCAAGCCATACAACTACAGGGATGGAAACCCTTTTCACAAATTTTAATGTGTTTGTATGTAAATAGATGTTTGTATGAAATATTTTCATGGTAGAATGAATATATTTAAATGAAGTTGAATTATTCCAGTGCTATTTAAACAAATTACAAAATTTTTTTGGTGAGAATTATCTGAGTCTATTGAGATAGAACGCAGATCAACTTTGATTTTTACAAAATCAAAAGCCTACAGATAACTCTGACTCATGGCAACTTCCCCGTGTTGTTGCACCTGACGTGGAGAGAGCTCGTAGGCTTCCCCAGTGCCTCAGCCGCTTCCTGGTGGAAGTTAGGTGCTCGTGGAGGTGTGTCACCACCTTTAGTGACATCACTCCAGGCCTCTGGGGGCCTGTGAGTGACTCAGAGGCATTAGAGACACCGGTGCAGTTATCCGGAGCACAATTTCTTTGCAGGGCAGCAGAATCAGAAGCCAGACGTGGCCGTGTGAACCTCAGAACTGGGTTTCCTGGCCACCATCCACCGCCACCCTTACTGCCTAGTCTCACACGGCAGGGAGGCTGCCCTCAGTGGAGTTGGGGTTCAGACCCCAGGGTGGGACTTCACGGTTTTGCCAGCAGTCCCTGCCTCCTGGCCTCCACCTCGCAGAGAGGACGGAGGAGGGTGCTGCTGGCCGGGGGCCCATTTCTCAGCACAGTACACTTCCTGTCTCAGCTCTGGGAGACTATGCACCCAAGCACCCAACTTCCAACCAGAGAGAGACATCCTTGGATAATGCAGATCCCTGCTTCCTCTGTCTGTGACTTTACACATCATTGTTAGAAGTCGTTTTAACATCAAGACCAATCACATCCCTAGGACATACCTCCCAACTCCCCTGACTCTTACTGGAACACTCCTTTACAATGATATTCAACTTGAGTGGGTTTTTTTTTTCCACTTCGGTCCTGGATATAGTGAAATGATAAATATGATGACAGATTTTCACTGTGTATACTAGCAATATGTACACACATGCCGATGTATCTTAACATACAATTTGGTTACATTTTGGATGACTGTCGTTAATCTCAATTCATGTATTGGGAAACTACAGGGACTACGTCATGTCTGCTTTTCATAGAAGAAAGTTGGGTTCATGGTTCTGAGTGCCCTACTTTAAATGTTTTTCCTCTTGGGTTTTCTGTATTCCCTTTTTTCCTGAAATGCATTGATTAGGTTGTGAGGTATGTTTAAGGACTGGAAGCCAGGGGAATGCTTTCGGCATTTATTACAACCAAAAGTTAACCTCATCACAGTTAACGAGCATCTTTGATTGGTCTTTTGTGGAATCTGAACTAAATCTACGAGCCTTATTCAATATCTATAATTCTATGATTTTTTTAAATTATGGGAAATTAATGAAAGATGTTTACATGAATAATGTTTGCCCTTACTGTGTTATGAATGAGTTTTTTGTAGTGTGTCTGGGTGCATGTGCAAGAGAGTAGGAAAAATGTTTCTGAAACAAAACTTGACAAATATTTGTAATGAAAAGTAAATTTAAAGATTGCTATAATTGCGCTATAGAAACAATGCAAGTATTAAACAAAATATACAATCACCTGTCATTGTCTTCCTTTGGGCAGAAAGGCAGTAACAATTCTCATGTCATGTCTACCCGTATATTTAAATTACTAAGCAAACTTTACATTTGAAGTTGTTTTAAAATATTATTAACCTTTACCATTTTCAAAGCATGATAGGAAGACCTGAGGGAGGGGTACGGAAAGGTTAGGAACTTATTGTGTACTTGGCATAATGCCACATACACCCATGAATCCAGAAAAATCAGCAACATCAGCCAAAGGTACCTGACTGACTACATAAATGTTAAGGGTATTAAACATAAATGAGATATGTGATCAGGGGGAATATCTGAAGAATGGTCACCTTCAACTCGTGGTTGAAGACATAGGAATGTTGTTAGGTGGTGTGGCACCTCTTGATCTTAGGACAGCTTTGAACCAAGGAAGCCAGGAATCCCTTCCTTCTGCCCAATCACGGTTAACATTCCCAGACTCTCGCCTACAACGTTCACAAAGCCAATGACAAAGCAGGTAGAAAAGTGCTTTGCTATCAGCTGGGCCATCTGCCCAGGACCCCAAAGCAGTGAGTTCTAGTAGGCTGTGCCAGGCCACAGGAGGCAGTGAGGGGTCAAACTGAAGTAGCCTGCGAGCCCTCCTGCTTTATTTTACCTCCCTCAGTTGCCCGTTCCTTGATCCTATCACACTTCCTTCCACTGAAGCAAGTGAGATGACTCAACCTAAACCAGTGCTGGCTTGGCTCCACCACCTGGACCAAGACACACCCACATGCTGGAGCTTCAAGGCAGTTTCACCTACTAACATACACTATTAATATTCTGCCCCCTTGTGGGGGAGAGGGGTGAGATGAAAATTTTGATATAACTAAGGTAAGTCTAAGAAGCTAAACTGGGCCAAGGGGAGGGTATAGCTCAGCGGTAGAGGATATACATAGCATGCACGAGGTCCTGGGTTCAATCCCCAGTGCCTCTGCTTTAAAAAAACAAACAAACAAACAAACAACAAAACCTAAACTCTCAAAAGTAAAGAATTTGGAAACAGTTGTAGGTTAAGATGGGTATGGACTCAAGGGTGGTAGAATAAGGCAACGTGAGGGACATTGAGACGCAGCTATTTTAGTTTCAGTGATGGTCCCACATAAACTTCTTACAGAATACCTGCCTTTGGATTTTAACATTCCAGACCATTTGGGGCTGCTAATTCATACTAGACTTGAAATTATTTCAGTGGTCAGCTCTAGAATTAGAATTAGAGAACAATCATTCAGAAGGATTTTATGCATCTGACTGGTTGGGGGTTGTTCACTTAGAAAGTTCTGCCCCAAAAGTATTTTATAAAGCAAATGTTGCCTTTCTTATAAAAAAGATGATGCAAATTCCCCTACAACATATTGTTCTGTGTTTTTCTTAAAGTTTTGTTTCTTTGTGAAAACCCAAAGCCACAGTTTTGAATTTAGAGCTTCACTTCTCATAATGTACATAAAGACAAATGGCTCCATCTAGATTGCTACCAAATTTTCACTTTTGCAAGTATCAGAATGCTTCCAAGCTTCAAGAAACAAAAACCCACCTCAGTACAGCTGAAGCAATTTAATGCAATCCCTATCAAATTATTCATGTCATTTTTCACAGAACTAGAGCAAATAACCCTAAAACTTATATGGAATCACAAACGACCCAGAATTCCCAAAGCAATACTGAAGAAAAAGAATAAAGCTGGAGGGAAAA